AAGAAAGTACTATAACTACGACTATATAATATAAACTTCTAGATTACCTAAAAGCAAATCACTCCCCCCGTCTTCATGTTTGACTTACACTGTTCCTCTTTGGACCTCTGTCCTCAATTGTTGCTCCCTACTTAATATATTGTCGTCAAGCTACATGCTCATCGCCACTCTTCAAGAAATTAATTACTTAAGTTGGCAAGTAAGAATTAATTACTTATTAATATGTTAAATCACATGAGACTCATTTGAATTAATGAATTTAAAAATTTTCTTAAGAATTATAAAATTACTTACCATGATCTAATTAAGATTTTTAAAACCATTTATAATTCTTTTTACAGGAAAAGGGAAAAAAAAATACCAAGATATTTGCCTTGATGATAGTGTCACGTGTATGGCCCAATGTAGAGTCGCCTTCTTCGATCACAGAAAGCATGAAGTCAATGAAATCCTGTTTCTCACTATTCGACTCTTTCTTCTTCACACGATGCTCTTCAACCCAACTTGATGCCAGAGAATCCAAATCACTCGCCATCTTCTTCATAGATCTGAGAACTTTTCCCTTCACCTGGAAACCATCTCAGAAACGGAATCAAATCCGAAGAAGAACAAATTCCCCAGAAATATGCATAAAATCCTTTATCAGCTTCACAACCCTGCGAGCCTCTTCATCATCCACATCCTGTGAATTCCCAAAATAACTCTTCCCTGCAATCATCCTCGTGATTATGTTCAGCGTCAATCGCTCCAACCACTCGCTAATCACAACCTTGCGTTTGTTATTATTATCGCCGTCGCCGTACGAGTACAGATCGCCGATGAAAACATCGATCTCAGATTCGTACACATGCTTCAGCGATTCGACTCTCCGAGCTGACAGTAGCTCGAGCATGACGAGCTTCCTCAATTTGCGCCAGTACGGGCCGTCCGGTGCAAACCCGAAGCCGGCGAAGTTGAAACCGAGGTAGAGGCCGTGGCTGGATCTTGGCCGACAGGCTAGGGATTTGTCGTTGGTGGTGAAGCATTCTTTCATGGCGTCTTGGCTGCTAACAACGAGGGCAGGGAAGGCTCCGAGGCGGATGGTGAAGATGGGACCGTACTTGTCGGCGAAAGAAGCTAAGGTGTGGGCGAGAGGGGCCTGAGCTCCGAGAAGATGAAGATGACCTAAAAGGGGTAAGGCTCCTGATGGTTCTGGTGCTAGCTTTCCTTTGCTTGTGTGATTTGGTGAGTCCTTCTGAGATCTGATCCATAGAAATAGGGACAAAAGTATGACTGAAATTGCTGCTAGTATCGTGTTGGGAAAGAGAGAAGATCCATTGTTATGGCTTCTCTCTCATCATCATGACTTTGAAGAAGCTCTCTGAGAAGAGATGATGATCTTTGAGGTTTGGGCAAGATGATGAGTGGCTCGTTACAGCTTTGACTGAGAAAAGTATAAGGAGATTATATATTGTTCAAGTTAGATATAAAATAAATGGAGACGACTTTGACCGTTATTACATGGGACAAATATCGTCCCATTTCATATTGCGTAATAAAATGGGGAAAACGACTCGGTTACTCAAATGAAGGACAGGTAGAAATAGACGGAGGAAGAAGGCAAGAAAATGATGGAAAGCTTAAAGACACATGGCGAGTGGAGTGATAAAAGTGACTTGGAAACCAACGAAACTACTTCCTTTCACAAAGCGGAGGCGAAATTTTGTCTTTGTATGGTTTTTTAAATATTAGTTTGGAGCCTCTTTTTTTTTTCTATCTCTTTTTTTTTTGAACTATCAGATTTACATAGTTCAACGATTTAGATTTTAATTTTTTTTATAAAATATTTGTAAAAAAAATTAAAATATTTAGTATATTTGCAAACCATTAGAATTAAATTTTAATATAATTTGTAATTTAATATTTTAATAATAGTTTTAAAAAATTTAAATATGAACTGTTAAAATATTAATCCAGTGGTTAAAAAAATAGAGAATGGCAGAGGATGGGAAGGGAAGAAGAGGGTTCTGAACCATTTTAATGTTGTATAACATCTAATTATTAGTAACACTTCTTTGTCTAATGTAAGACCTAGTTAATAAATTTTTTTAATTAGAAAAACATATACCAATAGTTTCAAATTTCACAATACTTACATCAAGTTTTTTATATTCATTAAGTTTTCCAATCATATATGAGTAGAAATGTTCATGGAATCGGACGGAAATAGGACAACTCTATCCTTGTCTTGTCCAGATAATCGGGATAAGACGGCTATTTTATCCCATATCCCATCTCATCCCAATAACGTCCAACATATCCCATTATTTTTTAAATTTTTTTGTTTTTTATTCAAAACTAAATACATTTGAAGCATAAAAGTTCATAGTAAAAATTATACAAAGAAAATAAATAAAAATTGGCTAAAAATTGATAGTAATAAAAAATTGATGAAGAAAAACGTTTCTTTTTGAAAAAGAGAAAATATATAAACTCAAAATATCTCCTAAAAAACATCATATGATCCATACAGAAAAACTTATAAATTGTAGACAACATAAAATTATAATATTATTATACTAATGATAAGTAAACTAAATTTATAAAATTAAAAAAAGATAATAGATTGGGACGGAATTGGGATGGAACACCTATGTCCCGTCTCATCCAAGACATTTTTGTCCTCTTTCCCTTTTGTCCTGTCCTGAAAATTTTTGAGACGAGACGAAACACAAGTGATGAGAACCCCTACATATAACCATATGTCCTATTTTTAAACATTAGCATTTTATTATAAATTCATGAGAAACAAAAAAAAGATATAGCTACGTGTGATTGGAGAATTTAACATAACTTAATTGTAAAAAGCTATGAGGAGACCTAACTTGAGCGTGAGAGAAAATCTAAGGCTAGCATCGACGTCGAAGGAACGTGACGCACTGAAAAGGAGTAGAAAGAAAGTCAAATCTGATAAGGCTTCATTTACGAGTGACCAAATACTGGTGCCAAGGGTTGAAGATTGGATGAAGGATGATGTGCAAATAAATAATGACGGCGAGGGGAATGATGGAGACCTGAGTAGGAAGGATACTGAGACTGAGATTGATAAGGATAAGGCTTTGTAAATGATATATAAGGCTTCATTAACTCAGATTATTTTGAATCGAAACTCCAACAGTTATGAGCGAAACAAGGAGACATTGACACTTGATGTGGGCTTGGGGTTTTTTGTGGTGCAATTCTCTAATAAATCAGACTATGAAATAGTGTTAACGAGTGGTCTGTGGCTACTGTTTGATCATTACATAGCAGTTCAACCGTGGAAGTCAAATTTTGATCCTGAAGAAGAACATATCAATAGAATCGTAGCTTGGATCTGTATTCCTCAACTGGCTCTTGATTACTATGATCGTGGTATCCTTCATGGTTTAGGCTCATAGATTGGTAGAGTGTTGAAGGTTGATATGGCTACTCTTAAACGAAAGAAAGTGAGGTTTGCCTGGATATGTGTAGAATTAGATCTGAATTCTCCCTTGTGACCTATGATTCTAATTAATGGTAAGGCACAAAGGATTCAAGATGAAGGAATACACTTGATTTGCTTTAGCTGTGGAAACTACAGCCATGATCGTGATCACTATCCTCATAAAAATAGAATAGGTACAAATACTAACGTCCATGATCCTTTTCTAGTTCTACTGGTACATGGAGAGGTGGAACATATAGCAAGCTCGTCTAAGATTGAGCAGGGGTCAGATACGGGAGGCAGTAAGGTTGTTATGAACGGACCAACAGTGGGTTATGATAAATGGATGGTGGTTCAGCGACCACAGAGGGTCTGTTGACCGGCACAAGGGATTCCGTAAGTGATTCTCAGAGAGATTTTCATGCGCCCATTAATGTTGAAGGGCGAGGATCACGGTTTCAAGCTTTAAATATGGATGGGGATGTGATTCTGGTTTCTTCGTCTAATTTGAAGGAGGATAAGAGGTCATTGAGTGAGATTACTAATGTCAATCTGAAGGACTACTCTAAGAGGCCTGAGCCCAATGCTAGAAGTGGGCCAAAACCAATGCGGCACAATGGGCTGAAGAATGAACATACATTAAACGGGCCAACGAAAAGTAAGGCAGAAGGGTCAAAGAATAACCAGCCTAAGACTAGTGACTAATGGCAAAGTGATATGGGAAATCTAATGAGGGCTAAAGATAGATTGGGCCTAGTAAAATCAAGTAGGCTAGAGAAGCAGTTTGATTTACTTAAGCCTAATCAGAATAGTTCTGTCAACAATGTGGATATGGAAATAGAAAATGCAATTGACGGTGAAAGCATGCAAAAGTCAAGCACTACTGATGTATCAACTTTTGTACACCATATGGGCACTAAGGTTAAAGGGTTAGTTGATGATAACCCACTTGATCCGGCTCGAAGAAGGAGGGTTCATTTCTCATCCGGTTAAATCCTTTGTCTGTTGAGTAGTAAAGTAATATTCTTTTTGCTCAAACTATGACCAGTAGACCTGGCCTTTGAGCTATGTTTTATTGTGGTTGGGATTTTCTATTTTACCCAGTTATTGTGAATACTGACATTTTAATATGGAATTCTCGTGGTATTGGTGGTAGAGCCTTCATTGGGCTTGTTCTTGAATTAAGAAAACGGTACGGCTTTAAATTCCTAGCAATTTTAGAGCCAAGACAGAAGAGTGAGAAGGCAATGATAATTGCTAGATGTTTGGGTTTTAAGTATATGGATGTAGTGGAAGCTGTCGAATTCAGTGGAGGCATTTGGTATTTTTGGGATGAACATATTGATTTTACTGTTACTTGCAAACATTCTCAGGTGCTTTACGGAACTTTCAATCAAGGCTCCTTAGACACTTAGGATCTTTCTATTGTATATGACCACCCAAATCCTTCCATTCGGTCTTTGCTCTAGCAACAACTCTGACTGATTGAAGAGATGGGAGTGAGTAAATGGTGCATAGGTGGGGATTTTAATGCTACTTTGCAAGCAAATGAGAGAATCTCAACGGCAAGTTCAGTTACAGGACGCAACAAAGATTTTCTTCGATGGGTTCACCATAGTGGAATGGTAGAAGTTGCTTTTCAAGGCCCTCGTTGTACGTGATGTCGTGGCAGCTCTTATAGTAGGATTAACTGTATCCTTGCTAACTCTAACTAGTTTGAGAAATTTTCACAAGCATTGGTGCTACATTTACTCAAGTTGAAGTCTGATCACCGCCTATTACTCCTCAAGTTGAACAGTAATGAGAAACTTTTCTAACAAAACAATTCTTTTCGATTCTTTGCTCCTTGGGTCACTCATAACAGATTTATGGAGATGGTAAGAAATTCTTAGCATCACAATAAATGTTGGGAAGTGAATGTTGAATGCTTTCACAAGGAAGCGATATCATGGAATAAAAATATCTTTGGGAATATTAATAAACAGAAATTTGCTTCGTTTGAAGGAACTTGAACGCATGAATATGGATGGAGGTACAAGCGAGGCCTGGAGAGGAAGAAACAAGAGAAATGGATGGAATTAGAATAGTGTTTAATGCAAGAAGAGATCATGTGGTATCAAAGATCAAAATGTAACTGGTACACACATGGTGATAAGAACACGAGATACTTCCATACTATGACAAACTGCAGAAGAAAAAAGAAGTTTGTGGAAGTTTTACAGGATGAAAATGGCGAGTGGTGCTATGATCAAGAAGTTTTAAAGAGAAAAGGTACGATGTTCTTTCAAAAACTATTTTTGGAGGAGGGTGATACCGGAAACTCTATTGTGTTTAGTGCTACTTTTCCCCAAGTTGACCTTGAGGCTATTGATATATTAGGCCGAGATGCTATACTATAACAAATTTACGAAGATGGTAAGAAATTCTTGGCATACAATAAATGTTGGGAAGTGAATGTTGAATGCTTTCACAAGGAAGCGATATCATGGAATAAAAATATCTTTGGGAATATTAATAAACAGAAATTTGCTTCGTTTGAAGGAACTTGAACACATGAATATGGATGGAGGTACAAGCGAGGCCTGGGAGAGGAAGAAACAGGAGAAATGGATGGAATTAGAATAGTGTTTAATGCAAGAAGAGATCATGTGGTATCAAAGATCAAAATGTAACTGGTACACATATGGTGATAAGAACACGAGATACTTCCATACTATGACAAACTGCAGAAGAAAAAAGAAGTTTGTGGAAGTTTTACAGGATGAAAATGGTGAGTGGTGCTATGATCAAGAAGTTTTAAAGAGAAAAGGTACGATGTTCTTTCAAAAACTATTTTTGGAGGAGGGTGATACCAGAAACTCTATTGTGTTTGGTGCTACTTTTCCCCAAGTTGACCTTGAGGCTATTGATATATTGGGCCGAGATGCTATACTACAAGAAATCAAGCAAGCCGTTTTTAGTATGGGTTCCCTAAACGCTCCAAGACTGGATAGACTAAACCCTTTATTCTATCAAAGCCAATGGGAGATAGTAGGCTCTTTGTGGTGGATTTGGTACAGTTGATCTTTCAGGGTCCAACAG